ATCTGCACTTCGAGGTTCACCAAGTGCTGTGCCTGCCACGAAATCTGCACTTCGAGGTTTTCACAAGGTGCTGTACCTGTCACGAAATCTACACTTCAAGGGGGGGTCACAAAGTGCTGCACCTGCCACGAAATCTGCACATCAAGGGTCACAGAGTGCTGCACCTGCTACGAAATCTGCAAACGAGCCACATGTCCAAAAGTCACGATTCACTGCACGTGTCACGAAACCTGAGCTCCACGACGATCACCACCATGTCCAAAGTGCTGCACCTGCCACAAAAAACTGCACTTCGAAGTGAAACAGCTCCGATCCCTTGCACCTGTCACGAAAAGTCGACTTTGGAGCACCAAAACACGAGGTTTCCCTTGCGCCTGCCACGAAAAGTCACCACCACCTACGAAAATGTGCACGGCACCACAACGAGAGCGCAGTCGTTAGAAGCACCCGCCGCCGCGGACACCCAGATTCAGCGAGCCTGCGATGTCGAAATGCACATGGACGATGTCGAGAGGCATGAATGTACTGTAAATCGCAGCGAATTAGCCGCACACGCCCGCGCGCTTCAGCGATCTAAGCATCAGCTGCTTTTCACCTACCGTAAGAACCCCTCAGTGTGCCCACACTGTTTGGAAAATAAAAGACTATAGAACTAGAGCGACTAATAGCGATTAGCATCAATAAATCCAAGCAGCTCGGGCACCTGTCTCCCCTCGACTCTCAGGCCGCTTGTCGGGATGATACTCGCGGAGCTTTTCATGGTAAGCCTCCAGGCACCAAGTGAAGAAAAAGCTACAAGAAACTTTGCTTCTATAAAAAGCTGTTTGGAAATTCATGCTTCGTCACAAGCTTGCGCACACGCTTGAGTTCGGCAGGAGAGGCAGCAGGGTCGCAGCCCAACACCTGACGGGTACAACTACGGCAACAGGCTCCGCAAAATGCATTTCTAGCTGCATGTTTGTGCAAGTTCATTGGAAGAATGGGCAAGGGAATGGCAGATTGTCTTGATGCATGCTGCCAAACGAGCAATTCAAGTGCAGCAAACACATGCCCAAACTTCCAAGCGCCTCGTAGTGGTCCACAAACGCAGCCATTGCAAGTGATCATGGGCTGCTTCGGACCAAGCAATTTAAACTACTCGTTAAAATACGTTTGCCAAGCATAAGCGGCCAAACCCCAGCCGAGTGCACTTATATAACTATCTATATAGTCCATTCATTCCGATACAAAATGGGACCATGAGCTACAGCTTGGGCCGTGAATGAAAAATTGCTTAGTGTACCGATACTGTACTCAACTCAGTGAAATTGCTGCATTGTTCAAGCAAATGTTGCAAAAAAGTGGTGCAAGCTGCCAAGAGACAAGATTGAAAGTTTTGCAAAAACATCATGGAGCAAGTCTGCTTGCCATTCGTCACCTTGAGATGACCTTTGAATGCTGCCCAGTGAAGAGGACTGTGCTTTTTCCTAACCTTGGCCAGCACCGAATGAAGCCGATCATGGCAAATCGACAATGATCTAAGAGTTTCAAGTTGCAGACCTTGGTGTTCTCATCGTACTTGTAGACCTGAACAGAACAGATCTTACTTTTCAAAATGAAACTACAAAGTTCACACAATCGGTTACCTGCCAAAGGGCAAGTCATGAGCCTAGAGCCTCCATTAAAAAGACATGACTGAATGGTGCAAACAGGTCACAGGGAGTCAAATGAAAGGATGCGATTAGGAAACTGTAAGACTGTGAAAGGGATGTGGAGTTATTGCACTTGATGCAGTGCAAACTGCAAACTTGCTTCTTTTGGAAGGTGCTCAATTTCTAATGTGCATTTGACCTCACAATAATTTACAGGTTGAAACTTGAGGTACGCAAAGCTTGTGAGAAGAAACAGTGAGGCTTCGGAAAGAAGGAGCAGCTTAGCTGAGGAGGTTGAGAATAAATAAATACTGACAATTAGAAGCCACACCTACGAGGATTTGTAAAGTGTACAGTCTCAGAAGGTGGGAATACCTGAACATGTCCAGGCGTTATCGGCCCAAACAAAAGGGCGAAGGGCTTTGTCTACATTCCCATCGTGTTCAATGTTTTCTAGTACTGTAGATGCACATACAATCAGCCTGAAAGGTATTACTCTCCAGAACTTACACGGAAGCAGTTTTCAACTAACTTCCTCGATAAACGTTTCACTGGAGCGTCTGCATGTAACTTTATGTGGTTAGGAAAAACTGATTCCTCGTTAGTTGGTATGGTTTAAACTTCCTCCTTTGTCAGCCTACTAAAAGCACTCCACCAAACAAGGCTGCCTACCCAGGCTTTTGTAAACATCCACGTTAAACAAGATGCTGTGTAGGTGGATTTTTGTAGGTCATCGTGTATTCTAGTCAAAGCAGGAATCCATGGCATGTGGGACGCTTTTCCTATTTGTTGAACACCTTCATTGCTTCTTGCAGTCATCCAAGACAATGCAGAAGTGTCTATTGGCAATTGTCATTCGACCAGGGCATGAAGCAAATACAAGGCCGGGCACACTCTTGGGTGTGACCATGTGCGTATACGTGTCTGTGTGCATATGATTGTTCTTGGTGATCATTACTATATATGTGCTGTCTATATACACACAATTCAACTATAGTATATTTAACAAAAAATCAGATGGTAAACACAGAAAAATCCTATTGTGAGATCTTACAGCCAACACTGAGCAGCTGCAGTGGAGTACAAGAGGCTGAGTTGTTGCCAGCATCTCCGTCTTTGGAATGCCGACAAAGCCTTTTTTGTAGAGGATTGTACATGTGTACAACTTGCCTCTGCGGCGTTGTGCTTTATGAGGAGTCTCGTGAGATCCTGTCGCAAACAATCCAGTGGAAGTGAAGCTTATCACACAAAAGCTGTTTGTACTTTCCCTACGCCCTACACACAACAC